GGAGGAGCCCAGCAGGCAGGTCCCACCAAACTGTCCTCCCCCAGAACTTAGGTAAAAAATCAAACTCTGATAATTAGGAAAAAAGTGGCTTCTTCTGAATTCCAGATTTGTGACTTCAAAGCAATGTCAATTTGCCCTCATCACACCCCTCCAGTGGAGGCAGCTCCTGCTGTAGAGGTAGAGCAAGCAATGCACAGTGAATTTTAATGTAAGTGTCCAGGGTTGTGCAAGAAATCAGCCACAGAGGCAAAACAAGCCCAGTGTTTCTGGCCCCCAGCTCTGGGCTGTGCCAGTGATTGCTTTCTCTTGCATATAAATCACTTTTCCCCATCAGTGAAGGACAGCTGGTCACTGAATGGAAAGTGGCAGTTGTTCAGCAGCACTCAGCACCACTGCACACCAGCTTAGGGTGGGAAGTAGAGAACGCTCAGCGTGCAGAGGAGACTGCCAGGGGATCTGGGCCAGCTGAATGGAGACAGAGAAGCTGGAATCTGACCAGAGCAAAGCCTGGTGCTCTGGCAAAATCAAGACAAGTTAAAAATCCCACAGGAGAAAGTCTCCCTTGCTTTTGCCAGCAGAACAGGTACCTCTGCCACGGTTCTGCAGGTCAGCTCCAGGCAGCAGAGCAGAAGCACCTTCTTGTCCACCACTGCTGTGGACAGTCATCATGATGAGAGCTACCAAGCAGCTCCTACAGCATGACCACAGCTGCAGAGTGCCATGACTGACCTAACCTAGCCAGCCCCTTCAAACCACAGGTCTTGGCAAGCAGAGACATCCAGTTTTAACCAGTCCCCAAAGCAAGTATTAGAGGTAGCCTTGAATCTAATCCTCTACCACCAGTTTTAAGGTTTGAAGGAACAGATAAATCCCCAGGGCTGGATTTATCTCTGATCTTTGCACCAGGACAGAGAGATCTTTTACTATAGGTGCCATATCAGTACAGAGTGTCTCTCCTGTTAGCATAGACTGAGCATATAATGTCTTACCATGCTTAAAAGTTGGTCTGATTTAACTTCTGGTGTGGCAAAGCCAGCAAAAAAAAAAAAAAAACAACCCTTCCCTTGGAAAACCTGGGCTAGCAGAGAGCTATAATCCCAACAGGTAATGCCAACCAAGCTGATTTGTGCTGAAATCTCTCACCGAGCACATCTGTGAGTGGCTTGGCTAGCAGGCCAAGGATACAAAATGTTCTTCAAGTGACTGGACTGAAGGCAAAATTCTGTGGGTCAACCTGCTGTAGCAGAAGAGACCCTATTACAGCCTCACTCAGTTCTACCCCAGAAAAGCACTGCACGACCGAAGCCTACACCAGTGCAACTGGTGCAAGGTCTTCTATACCAACTAAACTGCTTTAACACTAATTTTGCTGACAGCTGACAAACAAAAACACGTCCACAAACTGAAACAGTCAAACCAGCAACACTCATGGGTACATTTCCCACAGAGAGGGGGATTTCTTTTTGTAAATCTCCACAGTGATAAGGAACTGAGGCAACAGAGGAAGAGAAAGCAAGTAACTCCAAAATATTTCTGTTAGTTTAGATTTCAGCCAGCTTGGCAAGCTCTTTCGCGATGTTTAGGCACAACAGAACCTGAGTCACTAGTCTTAACTCAGCTTCAGGCCTTTCATGCCTCTGATCCCAATACAAGTACTACTTTCACAAGACCTTTATCAAACATTAGCGCTGGCTACTCCATTCAGATGAAAGATATCTTCAGCTGCCTTGTCTTCTCTGGTAGGGGCAGTGTAATGGCCTGTCTAAACTAATAGCTGACAGTTCCTAGAGGTATTTACATAGTTGTAGCTTTAGATGTGTCCCAACTACTTTTGGTTGTAAAACATGATGGACCTGAGACACAGTGTCATATTCTTAGATACGCTCCACTTCCCCTGCCAGTTCTAGTAAAGACTTTTTTCCTAAGAGTAAAAAAAAGTATTTGCCCCAAGGTGAAGTGAGATGCTGCTCTTAAGGAACTAGATTTTATTTTCTACCAGCTGGGATTTGGCCACCTGTAGGAAGTACCAACAGCATCTTTCTTCTTTGAAAGCAGTAGAAGGAAAGAAACATCACATCTGAAACGTATCGGTGGAAAAAACCCTATGCTCGAAAGTGCAGGAATGGACAGCAGCACATGTGGTTTGCTACAAAGCATTCTGGGTGAACCAAAGAAAGTTTCCTTTTCACTGGTTAAGAAAACACAGCAAAATTACTCCTGAAGCTGAAGGGATTTTAGACAAGTCCAATAGTTATTAGAGGCAACTGGAGAGCAACCTAGGAGACAGCAGAGTCTCCTTACCTTACAGCAGTTGCAGAGGACATGAAAGATTGGCTCCTTTCATGCCGCAGCCCTTTCTTCCCTCCCCCAGACTGCACCTGCACATCAAGAGCAAATCGAAACCAGTCTATTCTAAACCATGGTCTCATTTATTTTGAGGGACCCAAAGCGAGAATGAGGCTGCGAAAGCATGGCTAACAGAGAAACTTGTTCCTCAGCATGACTGCCCCTCTCTGGTGGCAAAGTCCTGGCTAGTACCTTCAGGATCACAAAGCTAGCTGAAAGTAGGGCATGCCCATTAAGCTTCCAATCCTTCTTACACGGCCACGGGAGTTTGCACATGTATTTCTCCTTTGGGTTTTAGCCAGAGTCCAGCCCTTTTGAGCACCATAACACAGCTGAATGGTTTAGCTCCTTTTGTTCCAGCTGACAAACAACCTAGCCCTCCCCTGACAGCAACAATACAACTGGAGCTAGGATTTGTGTGTCCTCTGAGCAAGGATACAGGCTTTGTGCCTTGCTGAGCTGTCTTTGCAAGGACTGCCAACACTCACAGCTGATTAAGCCTGCAGTGCTGCTTTCTGCTTCTTCCTGCTCACAGACAGATGTCAGAAATAAGCTAAGTGAAACAGCACATGCAGCTACAGCTCTGCACCTAGAAACATTAAAGCAGACTATTAGGGATTAAATAACTTAAGCCAGAGGGGAATTTAACACATTCTCTCTAGGCTTCATTTCTAGCTGGCATGCAATTCTAGGTAAGAAACATCTCACCCTTTCAAGAAACACTGCATTCTGGAAGGTGGCCCAACTTAGTATACAGGAAGGACTGCATTTAGAAAGCTTTTGCCACCACCACGTGGCTGAAACCGTGACTGCGTCCCACCAACTAACAAAGTGCCAGCAAGGACCAGCCTCCCTGCCAGGGCAAACTGGAGCAAGTGTTCGTGGGTTTTAGTGCCCGTACCACATACCTAAACAAAGAGCATACAACTAATTATTAAATATTATACATTTTATTAACTTAGAACTCCAAAACACACTACTGATTTGTAGTAAGAACTTGATAAGAACCTGTTAGTTAAGGGATTACACACAGCATGCACCCAGCCTGCAGAGATGTGCATTTTCTTTAGGTTGCTGTAGTCCCATCTGCTGTATTTCACCTCTGGTCAGCCCCGGAGGCTGGGTTGCTCAGGTTATCCTGGGCTTGACAGATGAAGTATTTTTCTTTAAAGATCTAAAAGAAAGCTAAAGTGCTTGATTATCTTGTTTAGTCCCTTACTCCTCAGTTAGGTATCAGGCATAGAAATACTGAGCCCTTCACTGGGCAGATGTTCACACAGCTGCCATTTGCAGTCTACCGAGAAGCTGCAGGACAGCCTTCCTTCCCCATTGTTCTCTTGGTGGGGACACAAAACCTGGCAGTGAGGTTTCACATTAGTCCAAGGTGCTTCATTTCAACTGAAAGGAAGCAGGAGCCTGCTGTCTCTTCTCTAGTACTTCGGGAACACTAAAACTAAGATACTCAACTGCAACATGCAGCAGTTGGGATAGTGGCCTGTTCTTCTGATATTCTCTTAGTCATATATGTAGCTCCTGGTCACTGGGAAAGTGGGTGAAACTCAAACTTGATCATGAAATGGGATTGAGATGTAATAAGGGACAGGAATCCACAATTCAAACTGCCTTACCCCCAGCACCTATATGTTATCCACTGAACATGAAACAAGCTTTTCTTGAGATATTAGCAACTAGGAACAGCTCTGGATGAGTGGTCATGACAAGTTGGGCAAAAAAGCTTCCCAATGTAATTCCAACTGCAGCAGCTTGAATGCCTGAAGTGAAAAAACTGATGAATGTGGCTGAACTCTCACAATGAGAAGCTAGTCATCTGCAGAGTTCCTCATCAGTGAGCCAAAGGACAAGGCAGAAACTCCTGGTACGTGACCAGCACAGATCTGTAACATCCGGAGAAGTCGCTGAGCAGTGGCAACTCGTATCCCTTCCAACTGGAAACAAAATGGAGAAATTGTTTAATCAATAGAAGAGAAGAAAAGCAGTACTAAGCAGTGATAAAAGAAAGAACTGGAGCAGGCATTAAGTATAGTTCACAGCAGCTAGCTACAGAAAATTCAAAAGAGGCCCATTTACTCCCCTAATGTTAGGGAAGGTACAGCATTGTCCACTGAAAACCCTGAAGGGGTTGCCAAAGGCACAGATATCACCTGCTGGTAGGGAAGTACTCTCTGAGGGTGGAATGATGAGTACACAAAAAAAGTGAAGTGTGCTACTGCTGAATGCCACACTCTCCCTCCAGCTTTTCAGACCAAGCAGGTAAATGGAAAGAGTAACATATCAGATGGCAAAACAGTCTTCAAAGCAACAAAGCCTGGCTAACAGGAAGCATTCCATGGGCAACAGAGTCACACGCAAATAACAGCTGAGGGGCTCCCAGGAAAAGAAAACATCTCAAGGAACAAGTGTACCAAAGCTCTGCGTATCGGAGAAGTCTTTGTTAATTTAGACTTGGCTTCCTGAGGCTTTGAAGTAGCACAGGTAATCCAGAAGACTCATTTCAAGGACAGTCAGACTCCTGTACCTCTACTGTTCTTGTAGAAAGAGTCTGGTCTCTGACACTTATGCAAGACAGTAGCATATGTATGTATATATTTATTGCTAATGTAATGATGTTCCTGAGGGTCAGAGAACAGTGGAATTGACAAATCCCTTCAGACACCAAATGAACACCTTACCTCCAGCTCACAGAACAGCACAGGACTGCCGTACACTTCTCCCAGTTTCCAGATGGCATTCATCTCTACACTGCAGCAATTCATCCTGCCAACTACAGAAAAAGTTTTCTCACATTACAAACCCCATGATCAACATTCAGTGAAGAAAAGTACCAGGAAATTCCACATCCACAAAACAGTCCAAAGCTAATTCTGAGAGCACCATAGAAGGTAAGGCAACAGTGAGCAGTAGAAACAGAGCAGAACAAGATTCACAATGGAATCAGCACAGAAGTCATTCACAATACTGGCAGCAGG